GTCATGCATGCTGGTGGATTGGGCGTGGTGGTTGGGCAGCTGGGGAGCGTGGGTGGGGTGGGGGGCAGCAACGGAGTGGAGCCAGTGGCAGCAGGGCAGGCACGCTCTCGCCTCCTGCCTGCCGACAGCGAGCAGCCCTGCGCTCTCCACCAGCCGCAGCCAGGGCAGCGCGCCTCACCGCCCCTGGTCCCCACCCGGTGCAGGCCATGGACAGCGCGGCGCAGCGCGGCAAGCTGCGGCGGCCGGGGGCACCGGGTGCGGGCGCCGCCGTGGGCGCCGAGGACATCCTCTTCCTCGTGCGCAAGGTGGGCGCGGTGTGGGGGCCCGGCCCGGGGGGACGTGGGGGGTGGCGGGGTTGCATCGTCCCGTCGCTGACGCTGCCCCAGCCCTCCACATCCATGCCACGCTGGTGTTCATCCGCTGCCGCTTGCTGGCCCCTTGGCAAGCTGCAGGACCCGCGCAAGTATGCCCGCGCCAAGGAGCTGCTGATCCTGGATGAGGAGATCAGGAAGGCGAAGCAGGTTGTGGAGGATGTCACGGCGCCGCTGTAGGTGCCGCCTGCGGTGCCACAACCGTCACGTCAGTGTGTCGGTTGTGACCACTATTTCAAGTACAACTGCCTATCCATCTACGCTTATCCTATCTGCTCAGTAAATGTACATTTCCCTTGCAGCCAAGAACTCAAAAACCTGCGGCACGCGCCAGCGAGGCGGGTTCCCCTCAGGTCCAAGGTGCCAGCAGAAGGTCTGCGCCAAATGCGCGCTTGTCGCTCAATCAGGCATGCAAGCAGCCCACCGCGCTGTCTCCAGGCTCGGCGGTGTGGCTGTGAAGCGCGCTTTGGCCGGCTCCCTGCGATCGGTGCCTGGGGCGCTGCAGAGGCAAGCGCAAAGCGGCGCGACACTCAATCCGGGCCTGCTGCGCGGGCGCCTGCAAGCCGGGGCCATGGCCAGCTCGGGCGGCGGCGGTGGTGGGGCGGCAGCGCACGCCCACACCAACCGCCTGTCCAAGGAGGAGTCGCCTTACCTGCTGCAGCATGCCCACAATCCGGTGGGTTGCGGTGTGGGAGGCTCCGAGTGTAGGCTGCAGGCGGAAGGTCAGAGGGCTTGGTCCTGCGCTGCTGCTGACGTCCTTGTGGCCCGCTTAAACCACTCGGTCGGACTGTGGGCTGGGGGCAGGTGGACTGGTACCCGTGGGGAGAGGAGGCATTCGAGCGTGCGCGCAAGGAGGACAAGCCCATCTTCTTGAGCGTGGGCTACTCCACATGCCACTGGTGAGCGGGGGAGGCGGTCCTTCGACAGGTTGGGGCAGGCACACGCAGGCAATGGGAGCACAGGAGGCGCCTGGGTTGATGTGCGGGTACATAGGCGCCCTGACGCATGCAATCGTTTGGTGGCAGGCCAGTCTCTTGCTTCCCGGAATGGCGTCCCAAATGCGGCATGCACACCCATGCTGCAGGTGCCACGTGATGGAGCGGGAGAGCTTTGAGAGCGAGGAGACGGCGGCACTGATGAACCAGCTGTTTGTCAACGTCAAGGTGGACCGAGAGGAGCGCCCAGACGTGGACAAAGGCAAGGGATTTTGTCCCTGCTGCAGTTCTGTGGTCAAGCCCAGCCTAGGATAGTATGGTATCTCGCGGTGCCGCCAGACTGGCGAAGCAGCAGCAGCAGCAGCAGCAGCCTAGGCCTCGGCCCCTGGCCGCTGCGGCATCGTCCTCAGCCGCCTGCGACGCCCCTGCTGCCCGCCTGCCCTGCAGTGTACATGACCTATGTTCAGGCAGGAAGCAGCAAGAGGCAGCCGGGCTGCTCGACTGGCCGTGCTTGGGGATCAGGCACAGGATATTTTTGTGGATCAGGACAGCAGAGTTGGAGCTGGCAACAGCACTGCCGGCCTCCAGTGCTTCAGCCCTATGTTCCATGAAGCGCCCTGTTTCCCGTGCCTGCTGTCAAGCACCCCCACAGTCCTGGCCAGCTCGCCTGAGCCGCTGTGCAGCACCAGCAGCGCTGAGCCCTGCCCCGCCCCGCC